ACAACGTAGACCCACCCCCCCCCCCCCCCACGATCTCTGAAGTGAATGAGAAAACGCAAAAGGAGGAAAGAAAATAATGGAGACATCTCATTAGTATTGTCAGCTCCTTGCTGTTTATTAAGGACCTAATTCTGCTGTCACTACACTGAGTAGCAGTTATGCAAGAAGTCATGCTGACCACAGCTGGGCTACCAAAACAAGTAAGATCTACTCAGCGCAAGAGTACCAGAATGGGACTTATGAGGAAGCATTGCCTAACAGTTAGAGCACAGGGCTATGAATCAGGAGACCGAGTCAGGGTTCTGTTCTCAGCCTTCCCACGACTCACTATGTAACTTAGGGCAGCCAAAACTTATTTGTGAATCAGATTCCTTACCTGTAAAATGGGGATAATAATAGTTCTTTACCTTGGAAGGGTGTTGAGGGATAATTACTGAGTGTTAAGCACTTTGTGATCATCAAATTAAGGGCACTATAGAAGGGCAAAAATATTATTCGGTTTGTAGACCATTTGCTTAAAAAATTAATCAGTATTTTTCATTGTTCCCCCTTTCCCTTCACTGGTGGTGTATAGATGTGAATGAATGTGAAGAGAAACTCTGTGAGCAAACCTGTGTCAATTCACCAGGGAGTTACACCTGTCACTGTGATGGCAAAGGGAGAGTTAAGCTTTCCCAGGACATGAACACTTGTGAGGTATGTTATCTTTCATTTCAGTAACTGAAAAACAAAAAGCTTTGAAATAATTATGCTTGGATTAAATAACTCAGAGGGGTGAGTCCAGCTGTCCAAGTTTACTTGAGTTGGGTAGTAGATACCATAAGACAGGGGTGGGCAAACTTTTTGGCCTGAGGGCCACATTGGGGTTGCGAAACTGTATGGAGGGCCGGGTAGGGAAGGCTGTGCCTCCCCAAACAGCCTGGCCCCTGCCCCTGACTGCCCCCTCAGAACCTCCGACCCATCCAACCCTCCTCCCCCACTCCTTGTCCCCTGACCACCCCCTCCCGGGACCCCTGTCCCTAACCACCCCCCCCCGGGGACCCCACCCTCTATCCAACCCCCCTTCTCCCTGTCCCCTGACTGCCCCGTCCAACAGACCCCACCCCCCGTCCCCCGACCACACCCCCAGGATCCACTGCCCCTTATCTAACCCCCTGTTTCCTGCCCCCTTACCATGCCGCTCGGAGCGGCAGGGTGGGGAGCTGTTCAAGACCCATCTTCCTAGGATCCCACTGACTAAGCATGTGTTGCCCCTTTCACCAAGA